CCCCTGGCTCAAAAAGGTTGCCTACCCCTGCTCTACACCATGCTAGCTCTCTTCTACATAACCTGTTAGAGTATTTCATTAAGATTTACATGTTAACTAGTCTTTGGGAAGAAAGATTAATTTAGTCTTTGAAAAAGCTACTTTTTCACTCTATGAGTTTCAAAATACATCCCAACCAGCATGGGAGATTTAGAGAACTGTAGAATTGTAGGGGATGCAGTGGCTTAAGTGGTTAAGATGCTGACTCTGTTGATTGCAAGTAGGCTGGCAGTTCAAGCCCCAGGTGTTTCATGATGGGGTGAGCTCCTGTCACTAGTCCCAGCTTCTGCCAACCTAGCAGTTCGAAAGCAGGCAAATGCAAGTAGATAAATAGGTACCACTTTGGTGGGAAGGTAAACAGCATTCTGTGCATTCACGCTGGCCATATGATCACAGAATAGTCTCTGACAATGCTGGCTCTTTGGCTTAGTAACGGAGATAAGCACCATCCCCCTATGGTCGAACATGACTTGACTATCTTGTCAACGGGGAATACCTTGTTCCAATAAGCTGCTTTCTCAAGTTTTGATATGGATGATATGTAATATCAAACACAAGAAGGATTACACATTAATATGAATGGGAATGATAGGGAGTGTAGTCCAACACATCTAAAAGATACCAGGATGAGAAAGGCTGTTATAGATTATGGATCTCAAATGCTGTGTAATGTCCCTCCCTCTAAAAAAAGGTCTTTATGGAAAAGAGTCTAAAGAAACAACAATACAATTTTTAAAAAAGGAAAGAAAATGGAGAGGAAATGGAATGGATCTACATGTTAGGAATGCTTTCTAGCCAATACTTTCAGAATGGGGAAAGATACCTTACTAAGATTCAATTTCATGCCACCAACACAACTGAGAAGATTCTGGTGTTGTCTGATGAAGGCCTGTTTGCATTGACCATGAAGAACCTATATTCAGTGGAGGGGTATGTGTCACTTTTGAAGACGACAGTTTCTAGAAATCTCCAGCAGCATGTTGCAATCTCTAATTGGCTTTGATCTAGGGATATAAGAGCCTCATGTGAATAGATTTCATTCCTTAGAGAGACAGTGAAGCATTATGGCTGGAATGCTGGATTATTGGTGAAGGAAACATGAGTTAATGCTAAGAGACTTCTTAAATGGCATATGACTATATTAGTGTTTGTTGTGCTATATACTTAAATGAGAAAAGAGCAGGTATGAAGATTCATTGGGAAGGAGCTAAAGAATCTTACCCAATCATCTCCTCCTAAAGATGTGGGGAAGCACACATACCTCTTTAATATTATGTGTCTATTATAGAAAACACTGTGGTACCAAGGGAAACATAATGCAGTCCTGTGGGTCTTTTTATGAAATGTTATTTTGAACCAGCATATGCCTTCTCAGAGTCTATGAGGCACATTTGTTGTTAACTCCTGCCAAGTCAACTTTGACTTATGCCAACCCTATGAATAAGAGACCTCCAAGTTACCCTGTCATCAACAGCCCTGTTCAGGTTCCTCAGATTCAGGGCTATCTCTTGTTAGAATTACGGTTTTGGTTAATTTGTAGTTAAATCAGTTTAGCAGCAGCAGCACAGCAGCAACAGACATGTCCTCCACAGGTATTTGGTAAAACAACTAGATCTGAGTTTCTAGTAAATAAACATGATACATTGGTAGGGAAAAATAACTTACTTTATTGCTACATCTAGGTTCTACAAAATAACTACCAGTAAAGAAAACTATACTTTGGTACAGAGGTCCCTAGATAGCTGACCTCCATGTGTGCAAGTAAGACGAAAAACATCTTTAGGAACAAAACATGGTTTCTGCATCCATCCTCAATGGGAGCAGAGAGGAAAGTGTGGCTACCAAACAAAGAATCATAAAACTTCATTACCCCCAGGAAGAAGCCTCCAAGAAGAGGAAGGATATGGGAAGTGACCTCTTCATAAGCAACACTGACCAAATGACCATAGAGATATACATCAGTGTTCCTGTGTAGAGCACCCCCTTCTCAAGGAAAACAGAACTACTCACAAGCATTGATGTTAATATTCTAACACCCTTTCTCATCAATGCTTGTCTTTATGTGACAAAATTCATCTTACTTCTCAGGAACTGAAATTGATCTCTAG